TTGTCTTTCAATTAATTTTTACATAGAAGTAAAAAATTGTATATAATTCTTATATACAGGGTGTCTCATAATAGGTGTATGACCGTTCATGGGTAGGTAGAACGGACTAAACTGAATCGAAAAGTCCTCTACCATTTTGCAAAATTCGCAATCGTAAACGAGACCTTAATTTTTGAAGATTGACGAATAAACGCGTATTCATTCGGCCCACCGCTGAATGCAAGTGCGTGGCAAGATAAGTAGATTAAACCGAACAAAAAAGTCCTCTACTATTTTGTAAAATTCGCATTTATTAACAAGATATTAAGTTTATTCACCGATCTTCAAAAATTAATATCTTGTTAACGATTGCGAATTTTGCAAAATGGTAGAGGACTTTTCGATTCAGTTTAGTCCGTTCTACCTACCCATGAACGGTCATACACCTATTATGAGACACCCAGTATATTTATATATAATTGGTTTTTATCGATGAAACACTTTTACATATATATACATATATATATATATATATGTATATAATTGATAATGACATTACAATATTGAAATTTCCCGCTCAACAATATAAATGTAATGATACACGTAGCAGTTGTATTGTTGAGCAGGATATTGTATGTACTGACATAATGTTACTTTTAGCTAATGTTTACTGAGGATAATTTTACCTGAAGCACTTTCCACAACGATCACACACGAAAGTTCCTTTCTGATGGCGTTGTACATGAGTCCATTTCGTGACGTAAGTCCTAAATGAGATTCAATAGAATTAGAATTGTAACAGTCAAGCTCGTGTTTGAATAACAAAAAATACAAGATAATCGACCAAGGAACGAGCAAAGGGTACCTTTGGGTAGGTTTTTACCTTTGCTCGTTCCTTGGCCGATTTGTCTTGTATCTTTCGAGATTCAACAGAATTAAAGAGATAGAAACAAAAAAAATACAGATAGATCGTAAAAGTAAACGGGCGCGTAAAACAAATTCGTGTTAATGAAGGCAAAAATGCGCCTTACCGGAAGGACTGGTGACATATCGGACAACTGTACGGCATTTCTCCAGTGTGTATTCTCTCGTGATTTCCCAACGATTGACTTGTATTGAGCTTCTTGCCGCAAAATTTGCAGATGTAAATTGTGCTTTTTTTCGTGAGTCTTTTGGCCGGCCGTAAATCGTGGACCTCTTGTACGTGTTTGTTTAGGTCCCACTTTTTCTTAAATACCGCATTGCAGCGACTGCACTCGTGCCCGAAGTGAGCTCTGTTATGTTTCCTCTGAAAGTTATGTTATAATAATGTTAAAAATACCCGAATAAATACTAGTTGACTGTCACATTATGTCAGTATTATATAATTTCCCACTCAAATATATAAGCGTAACACAATGTTGTACATGGTATTTACATTAAGAGAAAATAAAATATTGCCCAGTAAACGGAAATGGATTAAAATTTTTTAATGGATTGAAATTTTTTAATCCATGGATTGAAATGTGAATTGACTTTTATAGAAATGCATTCATTTCCACGAAAGCTAATTCACTTCAATTCCATTTCAACCCATGATTTGAAATTTCAATCCATTTCCGTTTACTGGTTGATATAATGTTAGTTTTAGTTATTAATGGAACGCTCTCCTTTGTACGAGAAGCATCTGGCCGGATATATTTACTGCTTTTTGCCACACCCGTTCAACAGACTCACCATATATACTTCATGCACAAGAACGAACGTTTGCAGACATTGCATTGACAAGCCTTAACGTTCTGACGAACGACCAACTTGATCCTTCCTGTAATCGATGCTGATTTCTGAACGATCGGTTACAACGATTTTTATTCATACATTCTGGATCGTGCATCTACGAAGTTCGTTGTGATCATCGACGCGCTTCGAGACGTTTAACGCACAATATAAACATACATTATTTAAATATGTCTCTAGTAAAATTCTTTGTCGACAAATTCTCTAGGACAGGCGTAGCATTTATATACAGTCACAGTCGGATCATTCAACAACTCTCGTTTGTGCTTCTGCATGAAGGTTCCGCAAGGCCTAACGCACAATTCTATCTTTCATAATTTATAATATATAATCTACAGTTAAGTTACCTTCAAGTGATTTATCAGATTGATATCTGTCGTGAACAATGCGTTGCAATATTTGCAACACTTGTCGGCCGTTTTGAAGCACTCATCCTCGTCGTGATTCTCCCAGGACCAGCTGTGCGAAAAGAATCTCCCACACTTCCTGCACGCGTACTTCAATTCTTCCTTTTTAAACAGATTATGCTTTTTACGTCTGTGAAGAAATAAATCGTACGTAGACGAGCATTTTGCGGTGCACGTGGTACAAGTCACATTTCTTTCGACGTGTATCCTATTGTGGGCTTCAAAATGTCGCTCCTCCTCGAAGTGAAACTTGCAAGTCTCGCAAAACAATCCCTTTTCCTTGACCGTTTTGAGGTCCGATAATCTTTGACGGTTCTCTGTAGTTTCATTATTTACACCCAAGTCAGAATTGTTATCAGTTGCTTTCATCGAAGCTTGCAACAGATCTTTATACTTCGTTTCATCGATATCAATTTTGGTATCCACTGTTAAATTAATTGACGCTGCTGTTTCTTCCGTTGAAGTAACTCCTTTTTTGTAACCAATTTCATTTTGAGCATTTTTCTTGTTTGTGATCTCTCGTTCAATATTTTGATCATTCTGGGCATTTGTCGCATCTGTAATCTCTCGTTTGATCTGATAGTCAATAGTTTTTTTATTTACAATCGATTGTTCATTAGTCGTATTATTAATGCGTATTTGATTGTTCGGTATATTCTTACTTGTAATCTTACTATTCTGAACATTCCTATCGGTAAGCTTCTGTTTATTATTTTGACTCATGGTGCATCGACAGGAATTGCATATTACAATATTACCGCTATGCCTCAGTATCTTGTGTGCTATCAGTTCGGTAGACTCATAAAAGCTGTTGTCGCAGAGGCTACATCTCCACTTTAAAAAATGAAACTGCTCCATATGATTATCAAATGTGTCTACATCTTGAAAATTCATGTCACACAGATCGCACTCGATCGGGCCGCAAACAGCTTGTCTTCTCAGTTCCTTTAACGTCAACGACGATGCGATATTTGGCTCAGAGATTTTAGATGCCTCACAAGACACATCTTTATCTGTACAAGCATCGTTCTGATCTAATTGCCTCCTCAGTCGCTCGTCCACCTCCACCGCGGTGAGAATCAGTTTACAACTAATATTTAAGTAATTTAGACAACGTTTACATACATTGGAGGGTAATTTGTCGTTTGGAAAAATCTAGAAACACGAAGAAAATAATGCTGTACATACATATATTACGTAACGAAAAATATACAAATTCAAAATTTTGAACGTGCACAAAAAGGATCGTACAACTCTTTGACTTACAACGATCGGCAAGCACCTACTCATTTTTTCGAGAATATAGTTATCTTTGTCCTGAAATATTGAAATGTAGTCGAGAGACTTTTCTCCACACAAACGGCATACTTCGACTTTCTTGTGGGGAGTGTTGGTATTTTTATCAAAACCGTTTACTATTGTATTCATTGTGTCTGTAAACAGATCAACAAACGCTCTGTTGACAAAATACGTTTTCTTTTAAAATAAATAGAAAATGTATTCAATCTGTTTTATTTTCATAAGTTAAATACGTAAAATACAAATTACATGGTTTTTCTAACTAAATATATTACATATAAATATTATATATACATACCATAAACTATATATATATATTAAAAAGATATAGCTGAGTAACAAGTTTTGTACAATTCAATCAGGGTGCATCATTCTATTGCGTCGCTCAATGTCCTTAAGCTCTAACATGTCCGTTTTCAGATGTAATTTGATAATTTCCCTCCATATGTCAAGTCTATGCTGATCATCATCGATACCAATTCGTCTCAAGCTGTTCTCATTTATTCTCAGTAATGACTTTCCTGTAATGTCGTGCTGAAAAGACAAAAGATGGTACATTAAATATATATTCCTTAATTAATAATATTCCATACTAAAATTCGTTAATTAATATATTCTGTGCTAATTATATATTTAATAAAAAAAAAAAAACTGACATTCAATGACATGCATTCAAGGATATTTTTTCATGAAATTGACATCATGTGTAGAATTGTGATCGCAAAGAGGAGCGAAATCTGGCAAAGGCATGCGAGACAGAGTAATTGAGACACTTACGTGTAGAAACGTCTCGTAGTACATGTGATAATATTCGCTGCAGTGACGCCTCAGCCACTTCTGCACGTCCAGTACGTTCCACAGGTACACCGGGCGCGGTCTCGTTGTCTTGCTCTGAAAAACGGCTTACGTTGAGGAATTGGAAAATGAGAAACGAGAGATCCCCCGTTTACCACGGAAATGGGAATCTCAGCGTTCTCACCTTCGTCCTGTGCGTGACGATGGGATTAACAATTTCCTTTCTCTCTCTCTTCTCTTCCTCTACCATCGTATTTCCAACTTTTTGACAACGTCGTACAGCGGCGCGTGAGAACTGACGAGACTGATCAGAAAACGACAAATGATATCATTATAAAATCAAACAATTGCAACTTGCAACCGTTAACCTGGTTGAACATACACTCGCGCGATCGCAAGTATAGTATGAATAGGGCTGCGTTCAGAAACTTCGCCCAGGTGGTCCAGGTGCGTCTAGATATCATTTTATCCTTGTTTAACATTCGGTGAATAAATGAACAAAGGATACATCCATAAATGTGAATAAATTCAATAAATTTCACTTTTTTAATTTGAACAGGATTCAATAGTCTACATCGCCAATAGCTAATTTAACATAAATTTTTTTTATTTTTGGTACAGTCATCGACGAGATACTGTTAGAGACCGTCAGCCCTGGGCAAATTTTCGTGCCGGCCAAAGGGCCCGGAGGGTCGGGAGATAATTGCAGAGTGTCGATGTTATCAACTTTTGACATAAATTATTAAAATCATAATTTTTATTATATAAATGCTTTATAAATAAGTATGAATACTTATAATGCTATAATATAATATTATATTGCCGCAAAATTACTTTTTCTTTTCAACTGTTCTACCACCTCTCTGGATAATCAAACACTGATGGTAACTATAAAAATGCATTTTTAATAAAATTATAACTATTAGCAAGATATAATACAGATAAAATACAATGTACATACATGTCTAGAAAACATTGATCTAAAATTATAAAATTAATATTATATCATTGACTAATTGCTTACATTTTATAATAATTATTAAACAGTCCCGCTAATTTCCGCAAGTCCCGAAACATCATAGATGTAGTAAGTCTTAAGCCGTAAGAAATTAACCAATCATAACCCATTATTCTCTTCAAATTCAACTGCAATTGGTCAATTTTTTACGGCTTAAGGTGTATGTACACACGGGGACATTAATGCCTAGACATCTGAAGTTGCATGCATATTTAGAGAGACCAATGAGAAGCACGCGTTGGACGGAAAGCGACGGACAACACCTATAATTGTGTTTCGGGACTAAAGGTCCATCTACAATAAAAGTAGTAAGTCGTAAATCGTAAAGGCGAATTCACATCTTGACAGAAAAGCGGAAAACAGAAAAGCAGAAGCCAATCAGATCTCGCACTGGTAGCAAGAAAAGCAGAAAGCAAAAACTATTGACTATCAACACGAGTTCTGATTGGCTTTTGCTT